AAGTTAATTACAGCTCATTGGGTATGCGCTGTGAGCCTGGGAAAAGTTGAGTTGCCTCCGTCCGCAGATGCTCTGATGGAGCAATTAACAATGAAACTACACTTTCTAATTGGATGAAACGCTTTGCAAGTTCTCCGTTATCCGTTATGCTTCGCTTAATAGCCGCGCGGAGTTTTCGGCGACTGTCACAATGGGCCGGGGATGTTTGCCGAGAAAATGCATGGATTTATTTAGGTTTGTGTTTTTCATTACATCATTTATGCAGAAATATTCAATGCAGAAGAGTGCTAACAATTAAATAGAAAAAACGCGATAGATATTCAGTAGTGGCATACTTTTAAAAGATTGTGGCTTAATTCGTCATTATACCCTTGCAGAGGGTATTATAATTTTGGCCAAAGTGTGCACCGCAGTGAAGGAGACATATCCGACCCTCTAAAGTATATATATTCTTGATCAGGATCGCGTCCTGAGTTGATATAAGCATGTCCGTCTGTCTGTTTCTACGCAAACTAGTCTCTCAGTTTTAAAGATATCGAATTGGAACTTTGCACACACCCTTCGTTCCTTTGCACGCAGTATATAAGTCGGATCGGGATCGGCCGACTATATCCTATAGCGGCCATATAACTGATTGATCGGAAATGCCATAACTTTGGTGTTTGTAAAGTTAGGAAGCTGTGATTTTCTATCGGTTTTATATTTGGCCAATCAATCCGACGTACCAAATTTCATATGGATCGGTCTACTATATCCTATAGCTGCCATATAACTGAACGATTGGAAATGTCATAACTTTGGTGTTTTTAAAGTTAGGAAGTTTGGATTTTTTATGAGTATTAAGAATGCATCATATGAATAATTTTGGAGAATATAATTTACAGAGTATTCTGCAAGGGTATATCAACTTCGGCTCCGCCCGAAGTTAGCTTTCCTTTCTTGTTTTATAATGTTACCGCTTTCCTAATTTAAAAAAAAAATGGCTTCGCAGAAAAGTGGTAGAAAACCTCCACTTCTAGGCCCATAACTTTTCTTGCAGATAGCCGATTTCAAAGTCCACTTTTTAAGGAAATTTTGTTTTGAGTGCATGCGGGGGAAAAAAAAAATTTGGTAAAGAACCTTCTAACGAAATGAAAAGGGCGTAATATTGAAAAATTTACGGAATGTTGTATTTGTTTTGTGGTAGGCAAAACCATTTTTCGTCGCAAGATGTGATTTAAAGAAATTTTGTATGTTGTCGTTAAGAGGTGTTTTCTTTTAAAATACTTTATGGAGCCGGAAACGCTTTTTGACAGGTGTTTTTGCTTACGATTTTTTTTCACATGTTAAACATATGATTTGTGCTGCATTTGCCAACATATGATATTAGCAGAACTTGAATATCTTGTATAACAAGGATAAAAGTCAATTACCCTTTAAATTTTCCTAGGCACTGTTTTTATACCCTTGCAGAGGGTATTATAATTTTGGTCAAACGTGTGCAACGCAGTGAAGGAGACATCTCCGACCCTATAAAGTATATATATTCTTGATCAGGATCACCTCCTGAGTTTATATAGCCATGTCCGTCTGTCCGTCTGTCTGTCTGTCTGTCTGTCTGTCTGTCTGTCTGTCTGTCTGTCTGTCTGTCTGTCTGTCTGTCTGTCCGTCTGTCTGTTTCTACGCGAACTAGTCTCTCAGTTTTAAAGATATCGAATTGAAACTTTGCACACACTATTCTTTTGTTGGGATTTCCTATGGGTTTTATTTTTGGCCAAGTAATCCGACCTACCAAATTTCATATGGATCGGCCTATCCTATAGCTGCCATATAACTGAACGATTGGAAATGCCATAACTTTGGTGTTTTTAAAGTTAGGAAGTTATGATTTTTTATGAGTATTAAGAATGCATCATATGAATAATTTTGGTGAATATAATTTACAGAGTATTCTGCAAGGGTATATCAATTTCGGCTCCGCCCGAAGTTAGCTTTCCTTTCTTGTTTAGACTTGAATTAGGGTACCGGTTACTGGTTTATTTAATGGGTTTTATGTAGATGGTTTTGAATGGAGCCGCCTATCTATAATTGCTTTTAATAAGATAAGCCGCGGCCGCACTGCAACTAATGTAATTTGGCCGGACAGAGGCGATGCCAACTTAGAGTGCAGCCGACAGAATTTCCAATTTCAATCAGCCGTTGCACATTCCCGCCCACGCCGCTCCAAAGTTCATGCTTTTGGTATGGCGCAGGACGGGTCTGGGGAAAAAATGTAATTAAGCCAGAAGGTCAGTGAAGGCAGCGCTTCAAGGAAGTACACATCAGCGCACAAAGGCTATGGCCCCTGGAGTTGGTCACTCGAATAGCTGTAGAATTAGCGTGGACGAGAAGATGACTATGTTCTCTAGCATGAAAGAAATGGCAAAGATAATTAGGATTATGCTCATTACAGTGCTCTCGTCGAGCGGAAAAGTAGTTTGCCCGCGATTCGGTCAGCTCAGTCTAGATAGGATCGACGAAAACTGCTAGATAAGAAAGATTCACTAGTAGCCTATGAAGTGCAGATTAGTGAACTAAATGTCTCGTTTTAAATAATATCCATGCCAGGTGCAACACAATATCTCAAATGGGTATATGTAACATACTAAAAGCGCCACTTTATATGGCCGGCGGAAAAAGCTTTTAGCCACCGTTGACCTTCAGACTGGGTAGTCGTACCAATACTGACCCGAATGAAGCGATATGAGAAATATTGAATGCTGCCCCACAGCCTCTGCCTTTACCAAAAACGAACAACTTTTATCATAAATTTAAGAGGGCACACAAGTATAATAATGTAGCAGCGCAGCGCGAGCCGAGTTGCTGAGTGGGGTAATGTAAATATATTGCCGGTCCCCTGCCACCTGATCATCTCCCAAACGCCCTTCGAAGACAATGGCCGCTTTTAAAACGTTCGCATATTCCGACTGAATTCTTTAAGCCGTCAGCGATTCGATTTCCCAGCTCACGCCTATATCAAATAAGTGAAAAGCGCCCGCGGGATGGATAATTTCAATTTTTCTGCGCTTTCCAGTCCCTGATCCACCATTTGGTGGAAAGTTAAGCACTGTTTATGCCTGTTAAACGGAATCAAATAAAGGTCAACCTGGTATCAATCCCACTTAGCTCGATCTGGCTGAGCTCCGAGTAAGGTTCTTTCGGGTTAAGGCTCTTCAGTTTACAGCCGGAGCTAAGCTTGGAGTGCGGTTTGGTGACAACTATCCCGGACTGACCCGGCCTTGCACCTGTTGTCGGCCGTTGACAGGCGGAATCAAATGTGTCATCATGCGCCCCCTCCCATGCTGATTTGCTGGTTTGCCATATGAATAGTTAATAACTCAAATGGCAGACTCACACACGGACACAGTGTACGGCCCTGGCCTTGTCCTTGCCGGAATCACCGACACGGAAACGGACACGGACCGGACAATGACACAACAGGAGCTGTGTGGGGCATTAGCCATGCAACAGACGGGGAAGTTGTGCGGTACAATCTTACACTGCAGTTTATGCAAAATTGCCGATAGCAATTTGCAAATTTAATGGCGTGAACAAATTCAATCAATGTATGCAAACAAATACAGGACAGGGGCGGCGCAAGGAGCCAAATGTGCCCGACCAGGCTAAGGGGACTACCAAAGCATTGGAAAAGCAACGACTCTGGCTGCAGTTGTTGCACAGCCAACCGCTTCTGCCGCTTCTGTCCCCTGACCCAGTTCGAGTCGAACTCGTCCGAATGTGCTTAGGCTAAAACTGTAAAAGGCAACAATAATCAAAGCTCGGCATCGTCCAGTGGCGATAAGTAATAAGAAGAGCACACTCGTGCAAGTCTGGCTTGTGTGGCATGTCTGGCGGTCTGCTATCAGAGGGCAGTCAGGTGCCTTAATTGTTTGGCTGGGGACAATCAGTCTCTGCACACCGCCCTGGGGAACTTATGCAGCTGCTGCTGGCATCGTCTCGGAATACGATTCAGTTTGGCACTGACTGCTCATCGAATAAATGTTTGCATTGGGCCTGGACTCTGTATCGAATTTGTCGAAGCTTTTAATTGTAAAATGAAAATATGAAGAAAGCTCGACTTTCACTGCACTTTCAGTTGCCCCTGCTTTATCATTACGCATGAAATTGCTGTCTCTGAGCCGCCTAAATGTGGGTCGGAGGGTAAAAAATGGGTATCATTTTTTGTTCTGCCGCACAAACTTGTTTTTAGTAAGCGGGCGAAATGACAACTCAACTTATAAACTTGGCCAAGGCAGCAGGAAGCCGAACACTGCCGGCAAAAAAGCTCGAGGAGCTGCTCAGGGTCCTTAGACCCGCCTGCAGCGCCCTGGTCGATGGCCCGATGCCGAGCACCAGTAAGCGAACAACCCACCGTGGACCTTCTTCCCGCCGGAGTCAGGAATGCTCATTCCATGGAGCTCATGGCTAAGGAAAAAGAAGTGTCTAGTAAATTATTGCAAAAAGCAGGCTGCAAATTAATGATAACGGCCCGACCAACACCTTCCACCCGGACGTCGAATGCCTGGCACGATTGCCATACAGGACTTATGGAAGGAAGCCCGACGAGGCAGCGACTTAAGTGACATGAAACAACCAACTACTTACTGGCAAGGGTGTGTGTGGAGCGGGAAATAACTTGACAACACAGTGCCAGTGTATGTGCCTTTGGCCGGATTGCTCGTTTAGAATGCCTTGGCCTGACTTGAGTGAGTGGTTCAAAATAGGGTGAACTGCAGTTCGCAGCTAGCTGTGCGGTTTAGGGGATAAATAAATGCTTCCTGTTGCTTCACACGCACACTTATCACTCGCCTCTTAACGCGTGCAAGTTATTTATGAAGGCGACTTTTTCATTAGTTTATTAAATGGCTGTAAGCGCTATCTTCCATTTGCTGGTCTTCTTGTTTAGGCCCTATTTAAAGTTACAACCAAACAGTCACTAAGCTGGAGTTTTTTAGTCAGAATTTTAAAGAAAAATATTCAAAATGTGTTCGTCCAAATTTGTTGTGTGTTTTTTGCTGATTTCCGTTAGCGCTGAGTTAGTCCCGTTCGATATCGATGCAATGGGACCCGGAGAATCAAGAGGATCAAAAACGACGCCGCCCCGGAAGCGGGATAGTCCCAGCGCCTCAGACTTTCAATTCATGATTACGGGTGGCTATCGGCCCCACACAAATGATCTGGTTAAGTACGTAGTTTCGCTGCGAATGGGAAAGTCGAAGAAGTTCTTCGGGGACAATCACTTTTGCGCGGGAGCGATCATCAGCCAGCGGTCAATCCTAACGGCGGCCCACTGCCTGTATCATGAGTGAGTATTGCAGTAGCCCCATTAAACGACCATTAATCGACCCCTGCAGTCGTCGCAAGCTGATGGCCAAGAAGTTAACGGTCATAGCTGGTACGCCAAAAAGGCTGGTGAGAAGTAGTACCACACAGAGTGTCCAAGCGAAGAGGCTTATTCCGCACCCCAAGTACAAGAAGGGAAAATCGCAAAAATTTGACATCGGACTGGTGTTGATGAAGGAGGATCTGAGCTTGGGGGATGCCGTCGCCAGCATGCCTCTGTATGACAAGGCACCGGTGGCCGGGGTCCAGTGCACCATCGTCGGCTGGGGCACGGTCATACAGGTCAGCTTCTTTCGTCCCTTTTCTCGCCTTCCCATCCCCTACGCACCTTTTTCCATAGTACGGGCCACTCCCCGATGAAGTCATCAACGGCGATGTTAAAGTCTTGCCAGACACCTTCTGCCAGAAGCTCCTAGGCTGGACCAAGGTGGGTATGCTATGCGCCAATGACCAGAGCAACACCGAAGTGGACAGCTGCCAAGGCGATTCGGGCGGCCCGCTTATTTGTGACAATAAGGTGGCCGGCGTCGTGTCCTTCGGCACGGGTTGCGGTGAGCCCGACTCGGCCGGAGTCTACACCGACGTCTACCATTTCCGGGATTGGATCAACGAAAACTCATGCCCTCGAGTCTCGAGTCCGGTGTCCACACTATTAATTCTAATGCAGCTTCTGCTGGCCTTTCTTGCCATTTTCAGGGGTATATGGTAGCGCCTGCCCTTTTTGCGATTCATTCAACAGGCGGTCGACGCGCCGGGAAAAGCAGCAAGTGCTACTAAGTAATCGCGGCTATTATCCTGCAAGCCTGGAGTCTGTGGACGACAAACCAAAATCGACTGAAACCAGCGGGCATGGCCTGTCATCCATGACCGGGAAGGCGGCCAGCAATGGCGGTGGACATACTGGGACATAATGGGAGGCTGGTGGCAAAAGGCGAAATGTGGTGCACGCCGCGCCATTACCCGCGCACACATGCACACACACGAACTTCCCGTGTGAGCTGGGTGAGACAACGGTTTATGGTTACGCTGAAGCTGCGCTGCCAGTGGATTCACTGTTTGTGACAGCAATTATCGCATCACAGCCGAGGTTGTGAGCACCGAGAAAATTATGCAACAATTCGGAACGGTTAATTTGGGGCGCTCACCAACTGTTGATTAGACCAATTAGGGGCAGCAGTGGCCTCGTCCAGATTATAAGGAACTCTGCGCCAGTAAAATGGGCTCGATTTTCCTGATGCCGCATTGCGTTTGGGATGCACGGTGACCGTGAGTCTAAATTTCTGGTCTCTGCAATATGGATCCCCACATCCAGCTTCTGTCGAATCTCGGATAGAAATCAGTGCGGAAGCATGTTGATTTGATATCAGCAATGCAATTAGTAATCGCAGACGCACACTCCAATCACTTACACATACGGTTGAAAAAGCCAGGACCAACTAGAGGGCTGAGACCTCAGCAACACAAGTCACGAACATGTCCCTAGCGAGGGATGCTCCGTGCTCCAGGCTTCAGGCAAGCTTCCATTGCGGAACAGTCCCGGTGACAGACGACATGCAGGCGACAAAACAATGTTGAATTGATGTGGGACTCTGAGCGATCCCCCCGACCAAGAACACCCAGACATATATTCACAGACATTCGCAATCAAGTTTGTCATTTCACAGCCGCATTGTGTGCTGTTCAAGTGTTCATAATGAATTTAATCGCGTATGTTTATTGCTCACTTTGCCATGGCTCTGCTCCGTCCTGCTGCGTCCTGCTGCGTCCTGCCCAACAAGTTGTTATTTTTTAGCCTCTACGCCAGCGGAGTCGACACTTTATCATTTTGTCACGCTTCTTGTTTACCAAGTTGGCTCGTCAGCGCCCCGTTCTTCTGCATATTGATTCAGCATTGTGTTTCCGCTGTCCCGACACACGCACACGCTAGTTCTGTGTCCGTTTGTGTAGCCAAGTCCCTGGCGTGTCCTGCTCCCTTTTTGCGTTTACAGCAGTAAATTGTTTGCATATATTAGACACATGCCTAAAATTGCATTTCATGGGAAGTTTATCATACCCTTTCAGAGGGCATACGTCTTATTTCTATTGCAGGTAGGATATATCAAATAGTGGTATAGCTCCCATTGGTACAATCGAAAAAAAATATATCAAATTTGTTGGTACGGTTATACTTTAAAATATAGTGGCTTAAAAGAACTATGGCTTTAATATTAATATTTAATAATCGGACGCCTATAGTTGTACGAAGCTGCCTTAAAAACAAGGAAGGAAAGCTAACTTCGGGCGGAGCCGAAGTTGAAATACCCTTGCAGAATATTCTGTGAATTATATTCTCTAAAATTATTTATATGATGCATTCTTAATACTCATAAAAAATCATAACTTCCTAACTTTAAAAACACAAAAGTTATGGCATTTCCAATCGTTCAGTTATATGGCAGCTATAGGATAGGCCGATCCATATGAAATTTGGTAGGTCGGATTACTTGGCCAAAAATAAAACCCATAGGAAATCCCAACTTTCTAACTTTACAAACACCAAAGTTATAACATTTCCAATCGTTCAGTTATATGGCAGCTATTGAATATAGTCGTCCGATCCTTATGAAATTTGATATGTCAGATTGATTGGCCAAATATAAAACCCATAGAAAATCCCAACTTCCTAAATTTACAAACATCAAAGTTATTGCATTTCCGATCAATCAGTTATATGGTAGCTATAGGATATAGTCGGCAGATCCCGGCCGTTCCGACTTATACACTGCGTGAATAAGTTATATGGTAGCTATAGGATATAGTCGGCAGATCCCGGCCGTTCCGACTTATACACTGCGTGAAAAGGAAAGAAGGGTGTGTGCAAAGTTTCAATTCGATATCCTTAAAACTGGGAGACTACTTCGCGTAGAAACAGACAGACGGACAGACGGACATGCTTATATCAACTCAGGAGGTGATCCTGATCAAGAATATATATACTTTATAGGGTCGGAGATTTCTCCTTCACTGCTTGCACACTTTTGACCAAAATTATAATACCCTCTGCAAGGGTATAAAAATGTTTCAGAAAACATATAAGCTAAAAATCGAAATATTGTCGTTATGTATAATTTATTTTTGTAATCGCTGCAAGGGTCTAAAAACTTCGGCTTTCCGAAATTTGCTCTCCTTCTTGCTTGGAAATAATTGTAGTTAAACTTTGCCATAGTAGTTGTCTGAATCCGGGTTTGTTGCGGCGAAGTCTACGAGCCAATCCACAAGTCAGCCTTGTGTGGCAACGAACGATGACCCAGACTCCGAGACGATACGTAACAATTGGGAAGAGACAGTGCGGTGCGCGCTCTGTACTCGGCAGGGTATCTACGCACAGCCCAATACATTCGAATCCACAGCCAGGATAGCGGTAGTTGGCATGGAACCCGTCCTTTCGCAAATGTATGTGGTTCATGTAACAGCCTAGAAGAATCCAGCACTGGTGGTGCTGGTCGAGGTGCGAGTCCGAACTGTACAAGCGGTTTATTCGCGGCTGCTGACAAACCGACTGCTAAGCTGCAAGGTTAACACATCGAACACGAGCGCGGACCAGCCCAGGCCAAAAGTCGACCAGTGAGCAGGAGCAGGGCACGATTTCCTGGCCAGATCAGAGCCGAAATCACTATCAATTTGCGTTTGTAAATACATTTTAATGACATTTTAAAGTGAGGATGAGTTGACCCCCTAGTACCGCCTGGCAAAAGCTCCACCATCCACAAATCACCCGCTTCCCACAACCTTCGCCACGCTCAGCTCAACCCACTAAAACAATCAATTTGAACATTACGGCTGAAAGCAGTCTCTTATGGGTGGATGTGGGTTCTAGCGAAAAGGAGGTTCCCTATGACACCGGAAATTCAAACTACTTCCTATTTGGCGGTGGCATTCGTTAGCCGCGTTTCATTTTTGCTGGGATTTGCTTTGGTCTGACGGATGATGGCTTGGCCTGCGATTTGATTTGTTTTCATTGTAACGAGCCTTTTATTAGCTCCACTGCCATCCTTTTGCTCCTTTCCCGCATCCTTAGCTCTCCGTTTCCTGCTCCCGTCCAATGAATCCCGATCCCAGCCCACTGCATCCCATCATGGCTGTTATATTGGCTCTATTGTTGTTTTGCTGCTGTGTCGTTGTGGCCCTGTTCGTTAAATGCAAACACCAAAAGGGTTTTCAAAAACAACAATCAACGCCAGCTACTCCCTCTTGACCGCCGCACCCCGCATCTAACGCCACCCAGCAGAGCCGCAGTCCAATCACCCAAAAACTCCAGCCACTCGGGATGGGGTGACGAGCAGGATGGGTACGACAGGATGGGTACGACAGGAACGCCAGCGGCAGGCAACCCGTTTTCAATTCTGTTTGTCCAACACTGGCCGACTACGATGCTGTCCATTCACCTAGGAATGCTAAGAAATGTAGCTGATCCACTCTAAATATACCATTACGAACTAACTTTAAGCCCTCACTTTCATTCAGTGTTTGGCCATTTTTTGAACACCCTCTTTTTTGAAAAAAAGGACTTTAACTAACTTTGTTGATACATTTTTTATAGTGGCTTAGAGTGGTAAGAATGTCATTAATTTCCAGCTTCATTTTATTTTAAAGGAGAAAGTATTTTCTTGAAAGTTATAAAAATGTCTCCAGAAAATGTTTTTTCTCTATATATAAGCTATAAGGTTTTCATATTTTAATGCATTTTAACTAATCAACTATAAATATAAATCATTATTTATTAATTTCTATAGTCTATTTGTGCAAAATCGTTACACTTTTTTTTAATGGATACTTACACGAGCTTTGTGAGGTAAAGGGTAATTGTCGGTAAGGTCGTGGAGCTAGACAAGTGCCCCATGCAGTATGTTTTTTAATTGTCTGACATTTCGCCAGTGCCTGTATGTGTGGGAGCGGATGGTTGCTATTGTTGGTGTGGCAGTTTGGCCGTATAGCTGTGTGGAGCCGTGTGCGACCGACTGGGTGGGTGTGTATGTGCTCGTTATTGTCAGTCTGTAGCAAAGCGATTTGCATACAAATTTGGCACGAAGTGTAAATATTTAAGCAGATACAAAGTGTGAGTATTAAATTTTTGATACTAATTAATTATGCATGTGTAAATTTTGCAATGAAAATTATTATAACGCCATATTTTGGATGCCCCCTTAGATTGCGTATAACGAAAGCATTTTCAGGCAAATCAAATCAAATGTTTGATAAACATAAGTCGGAACCCCAACCTAATACCCCCTCTGCGTTTGTTAATCACTCAGATGCATGGTCGAATTGTTCGACTTTATTGGGCTCATAATTCAGCTAATTATGTAATTCGATTAGTACATCAACCAGACCAAAAGCAAAAATCTTAGCGCTCTCGCCTGTTCGATAAAGGAGTCTTACTCCGATAGTCAGAAGACATGGACTGGAAAGCTGGCAAATACCCCCACACCCAACCAAGAACTCAGAACACTTCAAGGGCAATAATAACAAAACATTGAGTGCGAACAAAACGACCAAACAAATAGACGAACATTGAATATCGAACAAAACCAAGGATACAATGTAACTAACGCCTTGAATGGCGGGGCTCAAGTTGATTGGGATCGGGATTGAGGCAGGGATTGGGTTCCGTATTGAGGATGCGAATGGAGATGGAGCCAAAGGTCGGAGCTTAGGCAGACAAAGCAATTCGCAAAAAGGATATCAAACAAGAAATTCTATTAAAACTTTTTCACTTCCGCCTTGAATGTGTGGGTTGCGTCCCATATTCCGTAAGTGTTCAATTCAAAAGCCAAATATACCAATAAATAATTTACTACTCGTGCAGTCCGGGTCGCCGCAGAGCTCCTTTGTCCGCATACTTAAAGCGCATTAGCCAGCCCTGCTGCTCCCTGTCCAAGTCCGAGCTGAGCATTAGGAAAAACTTTGCCAGAGGCAGGCAGCGGGCTGAAAGCTGTAAATGACAGTGTAGGAACGAAGCATCCTTCGAGCACCGGGCATCGAGATCATCGGATCCGAACACGACATACCCATTGCCGTTTGCTCTCCAGAGTGAAGGCACATAGTCAAGGACAACCCGGCTACCCTCCTTTAACTGGCCAAGAGGCGGCCAACGCCAAGAATGAATCTTTCTCTGAAAGTGTAATCTATGGCGCAGACCACGGCAGACTATTTGTATTAATTTGTTGTTGGTGACTTTGTTGCTGGGGTGGCGCCACCACGGGAAACGCTTTTAAAAACGAGCAGCGAGCAGATTCGAAAATTCGACCCCAACCGAGACCCAGGTCCAGACCGCGCCGCCAGTCGCCGGGCGAATAGAAAAGTTCCGAAAAAGGAAGGAGTCTCTGCTTTTCGGCAGCCGATGTACCTCCTGATTGCTGGAGAATGCGTGTGATCCGGGGAACACGGGTAGCAGGGGAAAACCCGTGGCCAGCTTAATTGTTTTCAATTAACAAGCAAATTGGATGTTTTTTGTCTGCGTAGCACAGGCAACCTCAGCCCTTTGATTAATTAAACAACATTATTTAAGCTTCGCTGCATAAAACGATGCAGCCAATCGCAAGCTCCACAGCGAGAATTCAAATGCTCCCCCCGGAGAGTCATCCAACTATGTTTCCGCCCGTGATAATAGCCGCTGCACCACGAAAACGAGCTAGTCTAAGCCGGCTGAACTGCCGTAATTAATAGGGATCAGCTTAGCGAGGGGGTAATGCAACGATAATATCAATGTTGATACTTATATGTTTTGTGATCACTACAAAAATTGAGAATTAAACAAACAATCGTTTTAAAGTATGCAAAGCCATTATTCAAATATTAGGAAAATGACGAAAAATCGATCCCAAAATACAAACAAAGGTGATAATACAGATTATTAGAGAATTAAACCATAATCATATAGAACATACCAACTATGCTATTGAAATTGGATATATCCAAGAAAAGTTAGGAGCTTAGAAGTGCAGGTTTTAGGTAACTTTTCAGCAAAGCCATTTTTCG